TATGAAATCATAAAACTGTCCTATAAATCTGCAGAACAATTTTTGGTTTGCGTACATATCCATGATCTCATTTAATCTAAATCATGGTTCCTGTTCTCAAAGTTTACAGATCTTGTTGGGGAAACCAAGTAAATATACATGGAAAGGCAATGAAACACACACTTGTATTGTTCTGATTATAAGCCTAACGGGAATTCAGCTGAGGGGTTGGAGGTATGGGATTGAGTGTCTGGGATTCATGAATGAGGTAGGATTCGAGTTGGCCTTGTAGGATTTCTTTATTGCCAGAGACAAAGCTTTGAAGGACACTACAACTGACAGTGAGGTGAACTGACCCTTCTTCTTGAAGCATCGTTGGCATATGTCCCTTCAAAGGCATTAGTAGAGCTATCTTGACCAATTTGTAGAAAACACAAAATTCCTATGTCCATATGATGGGAGAAACGGTTAAAGAAAGGTCAAAAGAGGAGTGGTGAGACAATTTATAATTTACTAAGACAGAAGAATCTCCTTAAAAAAAAAAAGCTGATGATGGAAGGGTAACATGTCCATGCATATATTTGTGTGTACTTACTGGTATCTGATGTAGAACACTCTGGGCAAAGTCCTGGGGTACAAAGAATGCAAAGGGGAACCCACTTCTGAATCACTCTGGTTGAGGAAAAGAACTAACAACTGCCCATAGATCAACCAAATGAAATGTATTTTCACAGGTGACTCCATAAATCGGAAATAAGTAGATTCTTAACAAGATGTTGCTTTGCCTGGAGGGCCCTTACCTTGACTATGGCAGATTTTACCATAATAACACTTGAGTTAATTTTTATATGTTATATTTTGCTCTTTGACTCGAAATAAATATTTTCTATGGCGAACTTCACCTTATGACTTCTACTTTAAGTGATTTCTATTAATGTTGTATGTTGGCTGGTTGGGGTGTTAGGTCAAGGTTTGGTGAAGAAGTACTATTTTTGTCTTTTTGTCTCATTTTTAAAATTATTAGAGGCTTTTGCTACCTCAGGGAACATGGCTTGACTGAAGGCAATGTTATTATGTGATGCTGTAGAGTAGTCTGAAGATAAAAATCAGAAGTGTTCAGTGATTTATCTTCCTAGTTCCAGCATGCTAAAATCATTATTTCTCTTATTTGCATTGACATGCCCACCAATGACATTAATCATCTTCAAAGATTTCCCTTGTTCTTGAAGTTTGCTGGGGTAGTTCAGCACCATTTCACAGAAAATGTTATTTAATAAATCTGGAAAGTCTGTCAAAACAAAAAAAAAAAAGAAAAGAAAAGAAAATCGAGAACCTCTGATGGGGGATGGGGCGGGAGTGTTGGCGCCTGAAAGGGCAAGGGCAAAGACCAACTGAGGCTCATGGGAAAGCAAAAAGTGCAGTTATTTACTGAAGTTTTGACATATATCAGAAGATTGAGCTATCAGAGTATGGATTTAGAGGTAGTGAGGGCAGGGGAGGGGGCGAAGAGGAAAGGTAGAGGAAGAAGGAAGCTGCATATGTGTAAATGGTTTGTCATTCTTCATCTGGCAGTGGGCTGAAATCTTTTTGCCTCTTTTTATTTCTATTTGGAATGTCAATAAGCAGGTTAAGAGCTCTGAAAACCTACGCAAAATATGCTTAAAAGTTTAATGAGTTTGATAACTATGATAACACTCAGGAATGGCCAGTGAGGGTCCCATGAAACCAAGCTTCTTAGAGAGAAGTACCTGGAAGGACTAATAATAAGTACATCATAAAAGTGCCCCAAAAAGAATAGGGGCAAAATGACCTTAAGAGTCAACGTGCTAAAAAATAAACCAAACCCATTGCTATTGAATCGATTCCAATTCATGGCAACCCTATGTGTTACAGAGTAGAACTGCTCCATAGGGTTTTCTTGGTTGTAATCTTTACAGAAGCAGATTGCCAGCCCTTTCTTCTGTGATGCCACTGGGTGGGTTCAAACCACCAACCTTTAGGTTAGTAGTTGAGCGCAAACCGTTTGTGCCAAAGTCCAAAAATTTCAAAGTAGATATTTGCCAAAGATCTATTTGACTTGGAGAGTGCTTATTTCGTTTTACTTATTTATTTTAAAACATAATGAAAAGCGGGTTAGTTTTCATATACCTTAACCCAAATAAATGTTTTTCTTGGACAAGCCTGGCTTTTTACTTATTCTTTACATGTTTCTATTAATGGTACATCTTGGCCAGGGTATTGAGAGGAAACCTTTTATTGCCCTCTTTGTCCTTATCTGTAAATACCTCTCTTCCTCACAGTCTGTTCATGTTGCCAGGAGGCACACTGTGTGTTTCTTAAGAGAAACCTCCCTGTTAGCAGAAGGTCTTGCTCCTATTTCATGGGGAAAAGACATGCCACTAAACTAGGACTCCCTGAGCCTTCCACCAGCTAATCAGTAGGTTCTTCAGCATTCCCGTCCACCATTTTATCTTCTTCTCCCCTCACAGTCCTGTTTCCTGTCTAAGATGACTCCTTCATATATTCTCTGCATCTCATTCCCCTTTGCTTCCCGGGGACATTCATATCTTTTCTCTCTCCCATTTTTTCTTACTTCTTTTTACTGGCTTTTTTCCATTGGTATTTAAACACAGTCAAATCTCTCACATGTTCAATAACAGCAACAGTAACAAACATATGCACAAAACCCCAAACCCAACCCCCTCAGGCCCCTCCTTTAACCCTACATCCACTTCTGCCTTTGCTTTCTCCCTTTCCTGGATGGACTCCTCCACTGCGTTGTCCAGACTTGCTGTCTCCACTTGCGTCTCATCCCACTGCAGTCTGGCTTCTGTCCCCAGCCCACCTGTTCTTCCAGTGTTCCCAGTTGTAGAGAATGGCGGCAGCATTCCCCTAGTTGCCTGCGCCAGAAACCTGGGGATCAGTCTGACTCTTCTCTCTTTCCTCACTTCCCCACATGAAACTAAAAACCCAGTGCCATTGATTTGGTCACTAAAGCTCTCTCAAATCAATCTACCCACTTCTTCCTGCACTCCCTTGCCCCTCCTTAGTTTGGGAAAGTAGTATTTCTCTTTTTACACAGAAGGTGATGGGCTGGCAGGTGTGTGTTGCCACATAATGAAGTCATAAACACTTAGGGGTGCTGGGGACTGCACAGGCAAAAGATGTAGTCCCTAGAGATTTCCTTGTCATCTGAACACACTTCTGTGAGTTTTCTCTTTTAATGGAGACTTCTGCATTTCTCTGCTGGTTCCTTTTCACTTCCCTGGCAGTTTCCTCTGGTTTATGAGGAACACTTCTGTTGCTCCTAGTAGCTCTGAGTTCACAAGTGTCATTTCAGTTCTGTGGTCAGATCCTGGCTCTGACCCTCACTGCTGTATGAGCTTGAACAAATCATTGACTCTCCTGGCTCTTGATTTCCTTCTCTGTCAAATAAGTGGCTTCCCTTGGACCAGCAGTTCTCAACCCTGGCTGTACATTATAATCACCTGGGGGAGCTTTTAAAACTCCTGGTGCCTAGGTCGCACCCCAGACCATTGACATCAGCATCCCGATGCTCAGGGTTTTCCAAGCCCACTGATTTACAGCTCTGGTTCCCTTACAACTGTTATTGAACTGAAAACATAGCCGAAAACTTATTAAACAGAAAAAAAATTGTTTTGAGCTTCATGCTGACAATTCATTACAGAACCAAGGGAACATTTCAACTTCCTTCCTTCTAGAACTAAAGATAATAGTTGATCTACAACATCAGAGTCTCAAGTGAAAATTTTAATTCTCATGCAAAAGAACCAGTACTTATTCTTTCTTGGGCACCCTGTTAAGAAACGAAGCATTAATGGTGATGGTTGCACAGCCTGGTGAATGTAAGTAATGTCACTGAATGGTACTCTTAAAAATGGTTGAAATGGCCAATGTTACATAAATTTTACCACAATAAAATCTTTTTTAAAAAAGAAAGAAAACCAAAGCATCTCTGCAAGACAGTGGAGTTTTGAGGGGCTTGTGCCCATATAAACTGGCAGGGCCTCCTCAGTCTGCTCCATGGGGGCCTCTGAGGTGAAGTGTTAGCATCTCTTTTCCTCCAGTCCTACTGTCCCACAAATGCTGGAGGCAAAGCCAGGGCAACCAGTCTCACTGCTTACACACCTTGGATCAAGTCTTTCAGGAGATATCCTTTCTGTAGCAGCCCCCTTTAGACCAACCATTTTAATATGAAATAACTAAGTCTTTTCTGAGCCGCGAGGGAGAGGATAGGAGAGTGGGAAGATAACAGAGAACAGCCAAGCATCTGATTTAACCTCTGGCGCTAAATTTGGAAAGAACCGGGGTCCTGATGTAAGTCTGATTTACGTTGGAGAAGTTTCCCTTGGAGTGCTGGCTCTCCCTGCCTCTTTCTCTGTTCATAGTATCTCAACTGTTCATTCGCTGTCTTCTGCAATTCCTATCTGAAATAACAGCCCATGTCTTTGCTTGTCTCTCTCAAGCCCTTATTAAACTTAAAATTAGTTGCTACCTCAATAAGGGTGGACTAACTTAGTAGCTGCAGACAGATAAGCTGTTGTTGTTAGGTGCTGTGGAGTTGATTTAGACTGATAGCAACCTTTATAGGACAGAGTAGAACTGCCCCATAGGGCTTCCAAGGAGCGGCTAGTGGATTTGAACTGCTGACCTTTGGTTAGCAGCTGAGCTCTTAACCAATATGCCACCAGGGTTCCAGATAAGTTATTAGTTAGTCATAACCTATGGGGGATTCCTTTCCCCATATAATCCTTTTACAACTGGGCCATCAGATTACTATTCTCCTGGAAAGAAATGGTTAGTCATCTTCTAATGGTCTGGAAAAAGGGACATTTTCCTGTAAAAAGACATCTCACTAGAGTATGGAGTCAAGCTGAAAGGCACCTCTTTCCCACCATGATGAGCATTGAACTATTTTTCGTGCAAGCCGATTTGGGCCCAGAAAACTTAGTCTGAAGCTTCTTGGCTTTGACCCTGCCTCTTTGGGTATCTTCTTGTAGATGGAGGAATTGATCGAGGGTATTCGCTGGGCCTTTATTGACATGCTGGAGAAAGAAAATGAGTGGATGGATGCAGCGACCAAAACGAAAGCCAAAGAAAAGGTAATAATTCCTTTCAATGAAAAAAAATACAACTTTTGGTTTAATGGATTTTCATGCTTGACATCGACTGTGTAGTGGATATATTGACCGAGCTGCTGACTCTGAATGACTCCAGAGTTAGGTGTCTGTTTTTGGATGAATCCATTGATTTCAACTCCAGAAGGTAAAAGAAAATAAGATCTGACTTTTTCTAATTGCGTTTTCAAACACCTTCTAATTTAGCCTTTCCTGTCTTTAAGAGCCACATGGCTTGCTGCCCAGTGAATTTTGAGATAAACCATCATTAGATATGGCAGAATGCAGAGCAGTGGGGAGCCATGGGGAGCAGCTGGCAGAAGAGCCCTCAAGATGTAAAGAAGAAGAAAAACCCATATTGGCCGTGTGTCCTTCTGTTCTGTGCATGATGTGTGCAAGTGTCCTCAGGCAAATCGTTCCCTGTAACCAAGCAGATCTACTTTCTAACCCATCATTTTGCACAAATGACCCAAATAGCATGCTTATAAACTGCTGACCAGTGGTAGACCATTGTGTAGGAATACAAAAATATTTCCTAATAGAAATGGAGACTTGCTGTGCCTTGTAAAATTTTCTGGTTGTATGCAACAAGATAAGGGAATAAATGAGAAAAGCATTAGCAGCCATGATGTTTAAAAATAAAGAATGGGACCCATCTTGAATTCCAGGTATTCTGATGGAGCCAGAGCTCAAGCGGGTAGGGAACACCTGCTACACACTTAGTGGATGCCGCTCTGCAGGGCGATTCTGAAATTAGGAGCATCTCTTCTGTAGAGTGGTGTTTGCTAAACTTTCCTGATGATAGCCGTCACCTGGGGTGCCTGGACATTACAGAGCTTCTGGAGCTCTCCCCAGCACAATCTGATTTAGTGGATCAAGGGTTCAGTGAACATTTGTGATTTTCGACAGTCTTTCTGGTGATTCTTTTCACTAGGCAAGCCCAGGGAACACTGCTTAGAGTCGCACTTTCTATTCTGTCTGAGCACAAATATTTGTGCCTTACGGTCAAGAAGCAAAGAGGGCAACATTCTGGGAAGGCTTGGCCTCGTTGAAATGGGAACGTGCAGAGAATTAGCAAGGATATTTTCTAGAGCTTTACTGCCCCCTGCCCCCAGAAGGATAAACATTGTCATACATATTTCTGTCAACAGACATGAAAAGGCTGTTCAGTGTTTATAGTGAAGAAAGAACTTGGGTAGGGGTAGGGGAGGAAGTGGAGGAAGAGGAGGAAGACAAAGGATAAGTTTGACTTTTCCCCTTGCAAAGCTGTCTTCAGTCACGTAAGGCACGAGCTGATGAAGGCAGGAGCACGCGGGCTGTGACGGGAAGCTCTCTAGATGTAGATGAAACTTTCGGCACCAACGTGTTTTTTTGAAGTCTTCCTTTATTTGCCGAGCTAGCTTGTGATATTTAGAACACAATGTGTCTTGGACTGGGGCAGTTGAAAGCTTAGTGTGTTAAAAACAAACAAACAACAACAACAACAAAAAACAATCCGTTGCCATGGAGTTGATTCTGACTCATAGCAACCCTATAGGACAGAGTGGAACTGCCCCATGGGGTTTCCTAGGCTGTAATCTTTACAGAAGCTGACTGCCACATCTTTCTCCCACAGAGTGGCTGGTGGGTTCGAACCACTGACCTTTCGGTTAGCAGCCAAGGGCTTAACCACTGCTTCACCAGGCAGGGCTCCTCTCAGTGTGTTAGTGACTCTTTATCCTAGCCTGACTCCTTGTGGACTGAGGGAAGAAGAGTGTGAATGAGTACAGGGCCACCATTGTGGAGGAGTGGTGAGGGGTGTGTGTGTTATGAACAGATGGATGCCAGGGGAATGTTCTGAGAACTGTGGTCTGTTCTTTGATGAGTATGGGTTGTGATCGCCTCGGGGAGATCTGCTGAGTTGCATAAGGGATTGGGAGCCCTTAGAGTGGGCCTTCTGGGCAAGTGGCCCATGAGTCCTTGAAGGAGGACTAGTCTCAGTCCTATTAGATGTGTTCCTGTTTGCCCCTTGAGCTGCTCTCCAGTCTTATATTTTATTTCAATGAAAGCTGGCACTTTTTCTTCTGAAACTACTCTTTGAACACTCTGCTTTCTTTGAGCCCAGTCCAACCTGCCAGGAACGCTGCTAGTTCCTCGACAGGTGCAAATATCAAAGGCAATAGTCCCACCGGATCTCAACAGGTCCCCCAAGTGTTTCCTGTATTTCAGAGTTCAGAGCACTTACTTTAACGAAAAGCAAGAAAGAGGGATGTTGTCCAAGAACTTCCAGCAGTTCTCTGAGGCGGGTCCTGTCCTGGACCCCAGAATATGTAGATTTTCTTTTTCAAAATTAAATTAACATGCAGTTCTTGAAATGACCTTTGGGTGGAGCTCGTAGTACTCACAAAGAAAACATTCAGCGCGCTGAAGGCTTTTTATGCAGCTTTCTGCTCTGGGGTTGTTTTTGAAAAATTATTTTTTTCTTGCCCTTTTTCTCTGCTGTCCTCGATTTGATTGCCTTTTAATAGTCAACAAGAAAGGAGAGGCTCTGGTTAATAATTCCTTGAATCTTAGATGGAAATCTCTGACTATCTTAGGGCTTTGTCTTTCTGATACTGAGTTGCCCCTGCATTAAGAAAGGATTTGCCTGCATTTGAAGTGGAGGTGAATAATTTGCCTGTTCTTCCTGGTATGATTTGGCACTGTTCTTTGGGCATGTGTTGTATGCAGTATATCACCCAGGCAGAAGATTTCTCATCAATAATAGTACCCACACTGGGCCAATGCTGAGTCACTTGGCAACCCATTGGGAAAGCTGGAAAAATGTTCCGATTTGAGAGGGAGAGAAGCATTTCTTTTCCTTGCCGAGAAGCTCTGGACCGCAGGTAACTGCAGTGCTTCGTAAGAGGTGTTGCCCTCAGCATTCCCTAATGATGGGCCTCCTGGACGTGGAGGGGTTCAGGTCCCTGTAGTGGTCTGAGGCCTACCACCTTGGGTCCTGTGACAGTGACCCCAGGCTCAGAATGGAAGTGTGTGGCTGTGGCTTTGTTGTGCTATTCACGAGGGGTGATGACTGTCAAAAGATAAACGAGGACGCTCTGCTCCTGTGAAGGGTAAATTTGTTGCCTCTTTCTCTGCCTTTTCCTGCTCATCTCCTAAGAGGTCATGAGTGGTTTTGGGTTGGGAAACTGATGGTATATACTCCAGCTGGAAATTCAGTATTGTGAAATAAGCACCACGTTTTGTTTGGGGTTGGTTGTCTGTTCCCTGCAAGCATGTACTCTTCTTGTCAACAAGCAGCAGAGGACAGGAGGCCTGTCATTTGCCCAGTTATAATAGTGTCTTTGAGAGCATTTGCCTTTTCCAGAGCAGGCGTGGAGGATCTCAAGGTCACTCCATGACTCTGAGGCTTGGCAGGGGAGGGACATGGCACGCCTTCCTTTGGCTGCCCTGGAAGCTGGCGCAGGGCTTCTGCTGGAGGCCAGACCTGGGTCCGATCAGGATCAGCTGCTTCCTAAACTCGTTGGTTCCCAGCTGGGTTTGATTAAGGAACCCACACCTGGATCCTTTTTGAAACATTTGTTTGTACTCTTTTGCCCCTGAGACCTAAGCTTGCCAGGCCACACCCAGAGAAAAACACCAGGATAGGGAGGCAGCGTCCAAAGGATTCTGGGAGTTGGAGTGGCCTTAACCTTGGCCACAGCAGGTGCAGTGAGCTCTCAAGAAGTCTGCTGAATGTCTCCACTCCACAGGCATGTGGCTCCCAGGCACAGGCTTTGAGTGAGGTAGGAAGTTTTCTTACAGAGGGCAAAACAGAAATGTACTTCACCCCCTTTGTGTTGTCTCTAAGCTCTGCCCAGTCGTAGGGCCTTTCCCTCAGGTATACAGCTTGTCCTGACCCCGCCACGTCCCCTAACCCGGCAATTCTCAAGGTACGGTCCACAGACCAGCAGCATCACCTGGGGACTTGTTAGAGATGCACCTTTTCGGCCCACTCCAGGCCTACTGAGTACTGTGTGTTAACAAGTCTCCAGGTGTTTGTGATGCACGCTCAAGTGTGAGAACCACTGCCCTTGCCCTTACCATTTCACCGCACACCCGTCTGACTTCCCATAGCCGGCACCTCCGTTTTCCCTAAAAGCTCTCTCGTGCCTGCTTTGTCACTCACAGAGGGCCCACAGTCCCAGGGAATTAACACACTCTCCTTAGCAGCCCTCACCCAAAGACTGATGGGAGTTGGGGAAGGAATACATGCCCCAGCCCCCTCCACCTAGTGGGACAACCCGGAAGTGTGTGTTCCACATGGCTTCCTGAGGTTCCCCAGTGGGATGAAATGCCAGTCACTCGCTTGCTCGCAGTGATGGCTGGCTTGATAAGAAACCCTTCCTTTCCCCTCTCATTTCCCCAGTCCCCTGCTGGTGTTGATTTCACCTCCCAAATAGACTATGTGCACTGGAATCCTTGTCAGGGGTCTGCTTCTGGGGGAGCCCAAACTAGGACACAGCCCCTGTGGCACGCACCCTTTTCATGCTTCCTTGCCTTTAAGGTGGCAACACATTTCACTGCATCTGGGTGAACCAATGCACTGTATCTGGAACCAGTTCAGGAAATTCCACAGACATTTCCAGAACACTGAGGACGTGCCAGGTGCTAGGCCAGAAGCTGTGGATTTGGAGATGATCAGCTGCGGTTCCTTTTCGTCAGGGGCCCTCATACTCCTAGGAGTGTGCAGAAGTGATACGGGTGCAGGGCAGATGGGGAGAAGTGTCTGTTAATGTGATGGAGGCACCAAGTGGTCCTGGGAGTCTAGGGGAGGGAGCCTCTCAGGAGCTCGAGTGCGCTGCGTGTGGGCACCAGACTGAGGAGTGCCAACTCTGCCCCTCCCTCCCTCCCTCCCTCCCTGTCCTTGCAGCCTGTGGGTGAGGCTTCCCCTCTGCTCTCCCTTACTTGCTAATCCAACAACTCTGCCATCAGCTGTCACTTTCCTTTTGTACCCTCACTCTTGC